ACACAGTATATCATCGGCAGAGTAATAGAAATTGAAGTGATTCTGATTCTGAATGTAGTGTACAGTCGCTCGAGAAAAGTATGTTGACAACTTCCCAAACAGAATAACGTCTTTGAAATAGGACCAAACGACTTGAAATTGTTTTGCAGATGTTAGACCGATTAGTTTACGCGACTGGTAAATCACGACTGGTTGCAACGATAAAAAGATTTAACGTTTAGATGTGTATAAGAGACAGGTGCCGGTTAATTCCGAGCCCTGACTTAAGTCCATAAGAGGACTACGGATCTCTATATAATTTTATTTTAGAATAAAATTTTCTATTTTAATACTAAATCAGAAATATTAATTTTGTATAACATAAATGCTTTCTTTTATTAGATGTGTATAAGAGACAGGTGCCGGTTAATTCCGAGCCCTGACTTAAGTCCATAAGAGGACTACGGATCTCTATATAATTTTATTTTAGAATAAAATTTTCTATTTTAATACTAAATCAGAAATATTAATTTTGTATAACATAAATGCTTTCTTTTATTAGATGTGTATAAGAGACAGGTGCCGGTTAATTCCGAGCCCTGACTTAAGTCCATAAGAGGACTACGGATCTCTATATAATTTTATTTTAGAATAAAATTTTCTATTTTAATACTAAATCAGAAATATTAATTTTGTATAACATAAATGCTTTCTTTTATTAGATGTGTATAAGAGACAGGTGCCGGTTAATTCCGAGCCCTGACTTAAGTCCATAAGAGGACTACGGATCTCTATATAATTTTATTTTAGAATAAAATTTTCTATTTTAATACTAAATCAGAAATATTAATTTTGTATAACATAAATGCTTTCTTTTATTAGATGTGTATAAGAGACAGGTGCCGGTTAATTCCGAGCCCTGACTTAAGTCCATAAGAGGACTACGGATCTCTATATAATTTTATTTTAGAATAAAATTTTCTATTTTAATACTAAATCAGAAATATTAATTTTGTATAACATAAATGCTTTCTTTTATTAGATGTGTATAAGAGACAGGTGCCGGTTAATTCCGAGCCCTGACTTAAGTCCATAAGAGGACTACGGATCTCTATATAATTTTATTTTAGAATAAAATTTTCTATTTTAATACTAAATCAGAAATATTAATTTTGTATAACATAAATGCTTTCTTTTATTAGATGTGTATAAGAGACAGGTGCCGGTTAATTCCGAGCCCTGACTTAAGTCCATAAGAGGACTACGGATCTCTATATAATTTTATTTTAGAATAAAATTTTCTATTTTAATACTAAATCAGAAATATTAATTTTGTATAACATAAATGCTTTCTTTTATTAGATGTGTATAAGAGACAGGTGCCGGTTAATTCCGAGCCCTGACTTAAGTCCATAAGAGGACTACGGATCTCTATATAATTTTATTTTAGAATAAAATTTTCTATTTTAATACTAAATCAGAAATATTAATTTTGTATAACATAAATGCTTTCTTTTATTAGATGTGTATAAGAGACAGGTGCCGGTTAATTCCGAGCCCTGACTTAAGTCCATAAGAGGACTACGGATCTCTATATAATTTTATTTTAGAATAAAATTTTCTATTTTAATACTAAATCAGAAATATTAATTTTGTATAACATAAATGCTTTCTTTTATTAGATGTGTATAAGAGACAGGTAGTCCTCTTATGGACTTAAGTCAGGGCTCGGAATTAACCAGCACGTAACATGAGGATCGCGAGAGCTACGCCTCCTGATTCCTATCACGCGTCTCGCTCTCCGGTGATGCCTGGCACAAAACATACATATACTACTTACCTACACACATATACTTCTAAAGAAGAAAGAAAGAGGCGACCACGGGGAGCGACCGGAGTCAGGAGGCGCAGCCCTCGCGATCCTCATGTTGCGTGCCGGTTAATTCCGAGCCCTGACTTAAGTACAGGGAAGACAGAAATGAATTCAAAAATTTAATCATCTTGTGCAGAAATAATTTCTCTTATTATTAGATATCTAATAAGTTTATTTTCATATTCTTTTTGTATATTTTAAGATTTCAATTTGTTCATATTAATTGCGTGCTCCGAGTTGGAATGAAATAAAATCGTCCGAACAGGTGCGTTTATTTCAAACAAATTTTAAAACGAAACAAATTGACGCGAGTTCGATGCATCTTCAAATTGTGCCAAGGCACGAAAACGACAACACCTCAAACACCCTCTGTGCGACTAAAGAGAACGTATAAACAAGCTTGAAGCTACCAGAATCGGTACACGAGGTTGTTTGACAGTGTGTCCGAGGAATGAACGGATTGACAATTCGTGTTTACACGTCGGAACTTTGCACTTTGGAACAAATGGACGCAGTGGGTATGCGATTCCAATTCTTGAAAACGAGAAGGTATGTTCGAAGTTGTTTGAACAAACTTTTATTTTTCCACATCCTAAGCTGATGTAATAGGATGCGAGACGGCGTGAAGTCGGAGCGATATTGCGATACTTTCACAAAAATACTGAAAACTGGCTGACCTTTCATTTTTGTATGTGACGAGTATGCTCGCATGAAACGATAGTGATTTTTCAGTTACGACAAGTATACTCGTCACGTAAAAAGATTGAAACCAAATAGACGACATAAAAAAATGAAAAGATCTACTTGACTGACAAAATTGAGATTTATAAAATATTTATTTACATTCTTTTATAGTGCATTTATATATTCATCAGAATGCGATCAATATTGTCTTTGAATGCGGCGAAGCGTTAGGGAAATGTATGGAACGATGCGAAAATGGCTGAAGCCATAAAAATGGTCAGCGAAAGGGAAATGGGTGCTTTGAAGGACTGGCTCGTATTGAGTGTGCTTGTACCGAGTTTAACACATGAATGCTTGTGGCTATTTTAAACAAATATTTTTCATTTAAATTCCTTTCAAACGTGATGTAACTACAGAATTTAATTCATATAAAGGGGAAAAAATATTATATTATAAAAATTCCTTTTGGTGTTTATGAAAATAATTATTTTTTTATTAAATTTTTACCTAATTGCGTATTCGATATAAAATCATAATCAAAGTGCTGAAGTAAGTAAAAAAAATAAATTATTAGGTGCTACATTTGAGTACCAATATTATGTTTGATGCACTTTTCCATTTTTTGAAGCTACTTCAGTATTGACAATTATTTATAATGTTAGAAACGTATCATCATTATTATCATTATTATTATTCTTTATTCTATTGGGGCTTGTAAACTCAATTTAATCTTTTTTGTGTGCTTTTGCGCACGCTTATTAC